TCTATAGGAGCTTGTGGGTGCATACACACACACACACACACACACACACACACCCATACCAGTTATGCTCAACATCCACAGAAAAACTGGGTGTCTTTTTTGTTTCAAATTTTCTACATTAAAACTGAAGAATAATTTTCTTTTTATTTTTCTTTTTCTCTCTCTTTTTTTTTTTTTTTTTGAGTAGAATTCTCACTCTGTCACCCAGGCTGGAGGGCAGTGGCATGCTCCCAGCCACCATAGCCTCGACCTGCTGGGCTCAGACAATCCTTCCGCCTCAGCCTTTCAAGTAGCTGGAACTATAGGCACACACCCAGTTAATTTTTTTATTTATTGTAGAGATGGGGGGGTCTCACCAAGTTGCCCAGGCTGGTCTCGAACCTGTGGGCGTGGGCTCTCACCCCGGCAATCCTCTCACCTCGGCCTCCCAAAGTGCTGGGATTATAGGCGTGAGCCACCACGCTTGGCCTTGGAGAATCATTTTCTAAAACATAGATTCATTTTGGAAATGACTTGCTCACAGAAGGTGTGATCATTGTAGAATACAATTGGCTTCTCAGTGTTCCACAAAATGGACGCACTGTTTCTGAGGTAAGGCTACCCGGGGGCCCACATTATACTTTAACAACTAAACTTCCTCCTAGCTACGGAGATTTACTTTAGCAGATGTCAGGAGGCACTTAACGCTTTCAGACTGCTGTTTTGTACTGAAAGGGCAGGTTTGATCATCAGGCTGTGACCACTGGGAACAACCAAGTCTCACGGAAGCTGGTGGTGACGATAACCATGCTGTCAAACCATCCTGCTCTCTCCTGCCACTCTCTGGGCCTGGCTGGACCTCACTGGCTTTGAAGAAGCCACTGCTGTGCTCACTGAATGACTGCAAGAGTAGAATGCAGAGAGCTGCCACCATCCAGCTTCCCAGTGGCAGCAGTTGCTTGGAAACAGCGAAGGCTAATTAGGGCAAGGACATTGTTTTCATCTCACCTCATGAAAGCCTCCAGTCTCTAAACAACAGCAGATAAAAAACCAAACAGTGACACTCTGCAAAACAAACAGCACAATCCCACTGACAGTGTGGTCTCCTGACTCGCACACCTGCTAGGACACACTGGCCTCTCTGCCTGTCTGCACCATGTTACCCACGACCTTGGTTAGCACGGCTGACCCAAGGGAAGGGAGCCCCACATATTATGGGGGATACAGAAAGCAGGGAACTCCACAGTGGTGGACTGGGCACAAAAGGTATGTGAAGAGGTCCCCGGCCATGGGACTTTCTAATGAGGTTGGAGAGTCAAAACCTGTATGGAAATAATGACTGAGGCTGAACATCACTTCCCCAAGAATGTGTAAGAAAGCGGTCCCCAAACTCCCAGATCAAGTAGGGCTCTCTGTTACACACTCTCATAATTCCCCTAGTTCATCAGAGCCCACATCTATGATCAATGACTTAAGCAGGCAGTTGATCATTCCCTTAAAAGCTGTCCTCTGAAGAGACAGTAAGTACCACAAGGGCAAAAATCAGACCCGTCTTTCTCAACTGTGCCACCTCAGCACCAAACACAGTGACTGACATGTGGTATCCTTTCATTAATTATTTGTTGCATGTATGAACAAAGGACTGATATAACAATGGAGCCATTGATATCATAACAACAGACAAAGTTGTACAGGCCATTTAATGAACATTAAGTACCTATGATGTGCCAGTCATTGTTGACAACAGAACCCGCCCTCTAGAAGTTGATCCTCCCATAGGGAAAGAGAGGATCATAGAAAGTCAGAGGTGAAAATCTGTCTGGTTTAATAATGACAGGGAGAAAGTTTGCCACTGCATCTATAGGGAGAGGTGACTAGAATCCAGAGGGACTGGCTTGAACAAAGACTAGGGGTGCGTCAACCTTTGGGGAGTTCAGGGTGATGAAGGTGGCAGGGGTAGGGGAAGGGGAGAGGTCATCTGGAGGTTGACTACGATCATGGAACCTCTTAGTCAAGACAATAGAAAGCAGATGGGTATTTAATGCTCTGCTCATTGTGCCACAGAGAAAGTCAGCACAAAAGAAATTAAGAGGCTGAGACCCTCCAAGAAGTGGGAAATGTGAGCTGAACTTGTGAATTCCTTGTGAGGTCCTCACCATTATCTCTCACTGATTTGCCCTCCACAGAGCCTTCGCTGTCAATCCCCACAACATGGCTACCTTTTCGTCTCTGCAACTGAAAAAGAAAGGTGAGTTCCTCTGCACCCATTTGCATATCTGGCAGTGAACTGGATCAGCCTGGAAAATCACTTCACAGGTGCCCCAGAAGAGGGGGTCTCTTACCTCAGATATCAGTTGAGTCTCCCAGCACCTTGAGACCTACAAAAGATTTGCCCAGCCCCGTACAAAACAAGAGCCCTCCCCAAGATTTCTGCAATTTCCCAGGGGCCTTAGAATCTCACAGTCACTTGTGACTCCAAACGCCCACTTACATAGGAGCGCTTCCACATGTTCTCACTCATAAGCAGACCCCGAACATTTGCCATAATACAACAAGAAAGGAATTGGCAATAGCGGGACATTGTGGGGAGCTGGAGGACACATAACCTCAATAAGGGTACCTGATCTCAAATCAGGTGGGGGCCAAAGGGAGGCCCAAACTTTACCTGTATGATGACCACTTGTATACCTAATTCTAAAGTGTACCCCATATCTTTAAAATAAAAATTTTTTTAAAATACCATATAGGCACAATCTAAAAATTAACATCTTCCTCAATGTCCACAAAGAATTCCCACTTCCACAAAGTCTTCGGGGTATAGCAGACTTTAACTAAAGATTTTAAAGAGGTTGGCGTGGGGAGTTGTACAAAGAAGGATTGATATCATAAAAATATCAATAATTTCCTTAGTTTATAAAGTGGCTTTTGGCCACCACCATTACCCCCAGGAATTTCCATGGGCTTTTCACGGGGCTTAGACCTCAACTTCACACTTTCTTGAGTCTCCTCTGTCTTCTCCCTTCTCCGTCCACTTGGTTTTTTCTTGATTTTTCTTATCTCTCTCTAAGGAGCTACAACAAATTCAAGAATTAGGTTCAGGAAAATAGGTAACTTGCCTAAGGCCACACAGAAAGTAAATGACAAAACAAAGACTCCTATTTCACATCTTATAGTTTTTCCACTTTTCTTAGACTTACATCAAAACTATAAAAATAATCTTTTTTTTTTTTTTTTTTTTTTTAAGTAAAAATAGGGTCTGGCTATATTGCCCAGATTGGTCTTGAACTCCTGACCTCAAGCGATCCTCCCACATCAGCCTCCCAA